GTGGTCACTCATTACTCTGTAGACATACTTAAAAACATTTACTTTAAAAGATTTTATAAGATCAGGGTTAGTGCTGCACACTTTTAATTCCAGCACTTAGAGGTACCTGGACCTCTGTGAGTTCACTAAAATAAACAAGTGTTCTAGTATGTGAATTCCATTTTAAGGAAGGCCCAGCTTAAGCATGCTCTAGCACTAACCTCACCTGAATCCTTTTTTATATCATGAGTTCCTAAAATCTTTCCCAGGGTTCTCCTGCTTTGCCCTCTGCTTGAAATAGCCTTGCCCATACTTGACATGACTAATACCTCTTTATCCTTTAATTAAATTCAAACATCATCTCTACAGTGAGGACAACACCCACCACCTATCCAAAATAGCACAGCCACTTCGTATCATCCTCTTCAACATCTCACTTGCTTTATAATGCATCCACATTACTTTATGTGTATGTACCCAGTTTATCTATCCGGTCGACCATACTGTTAGTGCCACAAAAATAAGAACCATCTATCATCCACCACTATAACCCTGATGTCTAACACAGTTCACCACATTGAGTAACATTTTTATTTCCCTAACAGCCTGTCCTCATACCTACTACTCTCTTGGTTAGTATCACCACTGTCATCATCACCACCCTTACCCCTTCAGGGCCTTTATTTATCTTGCAATGAAAACATTCTCTCCTACAGCCTTCTCCCGACACTCCCTTCCACCCCCAGGTAGTCAGGCTCACCTTCACTCCATCACCTAGTCATTACTGGCAGCCCTGCCACCACAGCAATTATACTGAATTATGCTTAGGGTTGGGGTAGGGGGAGGGTGCTTTTATTCTGTAGTTATGTCTACTACTTTAGAAAGCCATAGCACAAAAGAAAAATCTGTTCATTTTTGTACCCCTAAGTACTCAGCACACTATCAGGCACAGTAGTACTATAATTCATAACAGCTAGCATTTATTAAATGCTTGACACTTCTTGGTTCTGTAGTAAGAGGGTAACTAATTAATGGATTCCTCCAATACCAACCTCAAAGAGGTCAGCCCAATGGGGACAGCAGAATAGCAGACACCACCACAAGGCCAAAGGTGTTGGCCTACTCTGTTCCTATGCCTTCAAATCTTTAAAGTATGCTTTTCTCAGAGTCCATTAATGTCAGGTCTCCTCGAACTCACTTAAAATATTTCCTTCCATTACCTACAACCCACTTCCTGGACCTGGTGCCTGGAAGCAATTTCTAGGTTGTCACCACAAGCAATATTAAACCGCTTCACAGTTTCCTGCTATGCATCTGCATTATCAGTTAAATTACCTCATATTAACCACATTCCAGTCCTCTGGGATCTCTCAAATGCCAAATCAGATTTAAACATAGCTGTCCAAGAATGTCATTTACCACCGCACCTTTTATACCTCTAGAAAATACCTGCTTGGGCTGAAAGTTTAAGTCTCCGGTGAACTAACTGAATACTGGTGACCTCTTTAGTCACATAGATGTTTGCTTTTATGCAAGAAAATGTGCCATTATTAAAATGAACACAGACCAAACAAACTCTTCAGTAAAAAGTTCTCCCCACACCATGACAATTTGGTTTGAACTTATTAAATACAAAACCTTTTGAGAGTTCTAATAGCAAATTGCTCTTTTTTTTTTTTCTTTTTTGGTTTTAGAGATAGGGTTTCTCTGTATTGTTTTGGAGGCTGTCGGACCAGCCCGGCCTCGAACTCACAGAGATCTGCCTGCCTCTGCCTCCCGAGTTGCTGGGATTAGCAAATTGCTCTTTTAAATTCTGTGTACATTTTAATCTGAGACCCTAATGTCTTAATATCTTATTCAGATCCTATTTATGATACACTCTTCCTAGACAATCATGCGCAGTCTGAATTTGACACTGAGAACTGAAAAACAAATCCAATAGTCCTTACTCTCAAGAAGTTTGTGGCCTATTTAATATGAGCCAACTGAGGAACAAGACTTGACACTACCGTCCTAATGAACTGGTTATGGAAACACAGGGAGGCACCTGACCTATAGGATGGGGGTGCAGACAATTTGAGAGAACTTAGCCTATGAACTCCCACTCTCTCACGTGAAAGCAATGGTTAATAAATAGCACCAATGGACAGTTGCAAGGGTTTTATGAAATGATTCACATTAAACATTACCATGGTGCCAGACACAGAGGCTGCTCCAGCAGCCTCAGCTTGCCAAGTTTCAACAAGCAGAAAATCACCTCCTGTACCCAGTAACACACATGCATTATCACTGATCTTACAGACACCAGCTTCACATTTACAGACATTATCTTATTTTAATCAACTTTTACTTTTTAATATTGTGACACTGTTAAGTCCTGCTCCCCACATGAACATCAAAGCTTTTGTTTTCTGTTACCTGAAACATGCCTTTCTCTGACATTTTTGGTATAAAATATATCTGATATTCTTAATCACTTGACAAGATGTAAAACAATCACTAAGTTCTTAATATGGGTCTGGCAATCACACCGACCCTATGTTTACTGTTCATAATAACTCTGCAGGTTTCTTCTCCCCTAGGAAAATCCAGACTCACAGATATACTGTTTCATAGTCAGCATGAAGAAGAGCTGGAGTTTGAACCCAGACCTGATGCACAAAGGCATCAGAGATGAAGAAAGGAAAGCACAGATTGCTGGGGGACGTCTGGAGATTGCTCAGTCTGCCGCCACTCACCTGCCTACCTACTTACTCGATAGGGCCTGCACACCTCAGCCAGGTGAACACCTTGAGCAGCTTGTTGTACCTGACAGAATAGCCAGCAACAACCAAAGCCATTTTCTCCAGTGACAAGGGTTGGCTAGCCCTCTCACCACCGTCCATCCATACTCCTAACTACGGATAGAAACTGCGCAATCAACACTCACTACAAATCACAACTACTTTTCATAACTTCTATCATCATACTCGCTTTCAATCTCATTTGGCTTAACATATTTCCCAGGCCTTTTTTTTTTCTTTTAACCACTAGGCAGTCACATTTGAAGATCAATAATGCCATTCTTCATACTAATTTCACACTTAATGCAATTTCATGCCTTGGTAAATTCCCTGCTCAAGTGCTCAGATATTACAGCAATGTGTTCCACAAAAAAAAAAAAGTATACGTATTTATCAACCTGCTACCGTCAAGAGCGTGAGCGGATGATGGCTAGTCAGCTGAACTTCTGCTCATTCTGTTCTAATGTTCACTCCAGCACTTCATTTCCTCCAGTCGGGCAAATCTCTGAGCTCTCTGGGACAAGGAAGGTAAGCATCCTTGCTAGAACTTTCTCTGAAGCTCTGAGGTGACTGTGGGAAGTGTTTCTATGAGCTATTGACACCCAAGTTTACAGCTCTTGCCTGGGAGCTGGGACTTAACTTGGAGTGCCCTTTAACCCCAGCAGGTCACAGACTATAGCATTTTACCTGCCCAGATGCTCAGACTCCTGTTTGGGTTATGTTCTGGCCCCCTCCCCCCTTTTCTTTAAAGGCCATTTTATGCCTTCACATTCATTTTCTAAGCAAACTTTTCTAATTTCTTTCAGCAGGTGTCCCCGAGCTTCTTTGAGAAACCTACCTGATGAAGAGACTGAACAGCAGGGCAAGGGTCACACTGCATGTGCATCACCTGAACGTGAGATGCAGTGTGTGAATAATTACATTTTTGCCCTTGATGCCCCTTCCTCTTTCAAACTTCCCTACTACAATTCTCAAAATGCTGAAATAAACACATTCAACCGTCTTTTCCTATAAAAGTTGATGGTGCCTTGTGAATGCTGTCTTCCCGAAAAGTCTATGCTGTCAACTTTGTAAATGTCCTTAAGCAATTCTATTAGTCACACAGAAAAAGCGAACATTTGCTAATGATTAGAGAGATAAAGCATCTGGGGCTGAGGAAGGGAGTGGCCAGAAGTCTGGGCTGTGAGGGGAGATAGGAGTCCAAAGCAACACACCCAAACTGGATCACATAAAAGTTGCACTTTCCAAAGTCAACTTGTAAGTCTAGGACGAGGCCAACAATGTTTCAATGGGTTCTGAAGTTACAAGTGTCAACAATTTCACCAGAAATCGAAGCCTCAACCCGGGACTCCAAGTGAGGGAATTTGCCAGACTGGATTACAAAACCTTTTCAAAATCAGGTACTCAGTTACAACCCAAAGGTATCTTCCTTCATAGCCTTTGGCCCCTGCTTGTGTGGAGACTCAGATAAGAGAGAAATAGCAAAGGCAAAAGGCCTTCCTCTGAAGGCCATCCAGCCCTTAATTCTACCTCCAACCCCCCTCTAAGAACCTCACACCACTTCTGTAGGCCTCAAGAAGTCAGGCTTCACCTTCTCAGGACCTGCCAACTCTCGGGGTCGCCCCAAACACACCCAAATGGAGACTTGCTTCCGGAGACCTCCCCACTCCCAGCAGCTGTGGGATCGTTTTCTGGGTCTCTCTCCGTGCATCCCGCTGGGGCAGCCAGCTCGCCATGTCAGCGATTCCCGCTCTCAGGTGAGGACAGGACGTCTGGTCACCCGCGCCCCTTCAGCCCGCACGCACCCCGTCTCCGAGCCTCCCGCATCGCCATGGCAACCGTCCCCCTCCCCTCCGGGCCGGGCAACAAGTCCCCCAGCGCGGCCCGCGGCCTGCAGCTCTAGCCCGGCCTCGCCTCCCCCCGCGCCCCGCCCGGCCCGGCCCGGCTCCGCCCGGCCGCACTCACTTGATCCTGGAGCCCATGGTCCCGGGGCCTCCTCATGGACCCGCGGGCCCCGCTCGGCGCTGCGCTGCCGCCCGCCCGCCCGCCCGCAGCCGACCGGCCTCCCTCCGGCGCTCTCTCCGCCCCTTCCTCTCTTCCCTCAGGCAGGGGCCCGCCCGCTCGAGGCTGGCTCCGCCGCCGCCGCCGCCGCCGTCTCCCGGGGTTAGAGCGCTCGCTCCAGGCGGGCGAACGCCATGGTACCCGGCGCGCGCCGCCCCCTCCGTCTTTCACACCGCCGCCCCCCTCCCGCCCGCGCAGCCGGCCGCGAGGGCTGCTGGGAAGTGTAGTCCGTTAGCGGGAGGCGGACCGTGGGGGCTGGAAGCGCGCAGTGGGACACCACTGGTCTACCTGAGAGGCCTGGGGCCTCACTGAGAAGAGAACTGGAGACCTCTGTCCCACTGCGCTCTGACAGAATCCACCCAAAACGCCCTGGAGAAACTTCCACCGTGACCCCTGAGGCTACTGAAAAAGCCTTCATCCACTCCCCCGTGGAGTCCTCCTGACAGGCCAAAACTGAAGGTGTGTAAATTTGAGGGAAGCGTTTGTTTGTTCTCCCCTCACACATGCCTTAACTCAGGAACCCACAGTGACCCCACCTTCACTGAAAATCAGACTTCGGGGTTCTTTTCTCCTGAATTTGAAGAATGAAATTCATGGACGGCCGAGGTTTAGCTTTAAAGGGTCTTTTTAAACATCCATAAGTGGGAACTTGAAAGTAAGCAGAGCCTGCCCATCCCAGGAAACAGGGTAGCATCTAGCTGCATGCCGGGGGCTGGGAATGAGTTAGAGCTGTCTCCTCTCGGTTTCCAAGTCATGTCCTCACATGTGACTTCTATGTGAGGGAAAGAGATAACAATCAGCCAGAACTCTTCTGGTATTCCTGGCCTCCAGCAAGGACACTCTAGGAACTGCTGTTTCTGTCTTCTGTTCTCTTCATTCCCACCAGCAGCTTTGGCATGGACACAGTGTTGCCCCCTCAGACCTACACCTTCCTGTGTCTTCCATGCAGATCTTCTCTGTCACACCATCTACTTTATGCCCTGCTTTCTTTCCTCTTAACCTTTTCTGTTAAGACCCGTAACTGGTACCCACAGGAAAGCCACTTGGAAAGATTATAGGACCTGTGATGATTAATATTGTCAACTTGATGGGCTTTAGAATCATGTTTCCAGAATTCCTTCCCTGGGGAAATGAAAGCAATGTCTACCCTATAAGGTCCCAATAACAAGCGGGTGGGTAAGTCCACCAAAGTTCGACCTGGGGATCCAATGAGTTTAGTGCGCTTACTCACAAAGCGTGAGTGAGGGTTGCTTACAGGAGCATGGGTAACTCCAAAGCAGCTGTACTAGAAAGTGCCCACCCTCGCACAAATGATAGCACGAATGTGTTTGGGGCGACCCCGAGAGTTGGCAGGTCCTGAGAGGGTGAAGCCTGGCTTCTTGAGGCCTACAGAAGTGGTGTGAGGTTCTTAGAGGGGGGTTGGAGGTAGAATTAAGGGCTGGATGGCCTTCAGAGGAAGGCCTTTTGCCTTTGCTATTTCTCTCTTATCTGAGTCTCTACAAATGATATATATATATCTTTCTTTAGATAACCTCCTATAATCTACTACAATCGGTGTACTCTAACACTTCTAAGGCTCGGAAGAATGTGCAATAAGAATTGATTGCATCGGGAAGAGTGGGTGGATTCTCTGGCGTGGGGCCAGTGGCCCTCCCCAACCCTCCCCCTCTAAGGAACTGCTCTTGATGGCTTGTAAGCAGACACAGCTGATGTGAAGACGGAGGCTATTTTGCTGGGAGGACTAGGTTCTCCAGCCAATCAGCTAAGCCAGAAAGCTCTGGAACTATCTACGAGGGAGCTTCTAGATTAGTTTAATTCAGGAGGGTGGTCCTTCCCATGGGCTGGGTTAAAAGAAAAGGGGAAGAGCCTTGAAGCCGCACACCTTTAATCCCAGCACTTAGGAGGCAGAGACAGGCAGAGCTCAGTGAGTTCGAGGCCAGCCTGGTCTACAGAGTGAGTTCCAGGACAGCCAGGACTGTTAACATAGAGAAACCCCGTGTCTCAAAAAAAAAAAAAAAAAAAAAAAAAAAAAAGGAGAAGAGGAGGAGGAGGAGGAGGAGGAAGGAAAAGAAAAAAGAAAGGGAAGCTACAAGGCTGCATTCATCTCTCTCTGCTTCTTGACAATGAATCCCTCACTCTCCTGCCCGCCCCCACCATGTTATACTGTACCCTCAAACTGTGAGCCAGATTAGACCTTTCCTAATTGCTGGCTTTCTTTTTTTGTGGGAGGGTTGTTTGTTCATCCTAAAATCTGTCCCTGCTAGGCCCTCAAGAGACTCACTTTCATGAATCCCAGTTTCATATCCTCTAGGCCTGGAGGGACCACAAAGGAAGAAATAACGACAAATTTGTTTAGTGAGGACATGAGTGCATGCGCTTTATGAATTAGGCACGGTATTCCCCCAGGACTGGTTCACACCAGTCCTCATGATGTCTCTGGGAATTTGCCTTCCCAGTTTGCAAAGAGGAAACTGAGGCATATTCCCCAGGTGATCCAACTAACAACTAGTGAAGCCAAAACCAACATCAGTGCTTGAATAATTCCCGATACATGACAGACCTCGTCATTCTCGAGGGTGGCACTTTTTGTACACAAGTCAGAAGATACCATAAGCTCACGGGGTCCCTTTTGGTACTGGGCCTTTTCTGTTTCTTCCTTACCTCGTTCAGTTTTCTCTTCTGAATGCCAATCATCCCTTCTGCCATTTTAACCCTGATAAATCCATGAAAGTGCCTCATAGTCACTACAGTAACATCCTAGGCTCCCAGACAGGCAGGGAGTTAAAAAAAAAAAACAAACTCCTTCTTTGGGAGTTACCTCCAGTTAAAAATAAGATCTCCCTTTGTGCCTTGAGGTTGTTGAAAGGCAAAGGGTAAACTTTTTTTAATTAGAAAAAAATGTCCAAACTGCCATTTTGAATTGAAAGTCTCTGCACCCAGACACCAACACTGTCTTATAAACACCCCAGGAGCAGTGTTCTGTTAGACAAGCAGGGGCTCCGCGCTTACTCACCTTGTTTTATATGAAACCCCTCCAAGGAGCAGCTGTTATCAACATCTTCTCTGGAATGAGCAGTCAGTTCAAAAGCTATGCAGGAGACTATAAATAAAACAATGTTATTTGGTGGAGGGCAAAAGTTGGCTGCTTTTCAAAGACGTTTGTAGCCATCCTTGCCACAAAAATGTCTGAGTGCCTACAGGGTGGTTGTGTGTGTAAATGTGTGTGTTGCGTGTTGGCAGTGGAGGCAAAAGATGGGGCTCATGTATCTGCCCGGGGGGCCTCCAGACAGCAGGGTGGTCTGGGGAAAGAGCACACAGTGGGAGTTAGGAGTCTGGCCTGTGATGCTGTTTGAAGCACTGTGAATTTAAGCAAATAATTGGGCAATCGTCTGTTTCCACTTCCTCCTCTGTAAAACGGGTAGAGAGGATGAGCAGGTGCTCAAACCACAAGACAGACTATAACATAGGAGCTAGCAGTTCGGGAACTCAAACCAGGCTACCTGGATTTGAATCTCATTTCTGCCTCTTACAACATGTGTGAACTTGTTTTATCTAATCTCCCAGTATCTTGGTTCTTTGTAAACCGAGAGTGATGATAATATCCTAAAGTATGTGAAGATGAGGATTAAATCAGTGACAATAAAGTATGAAGTGACTAGCAGGTAGTAAGCACTCAAAAATTATTGGCAACTAATATGCACAAAACTCTAAGCACAGTTTAATGTTTATTTGTTAGTTTGATTGTTTGCATTGCTGGGAGATAAAGTCAAGGCCTTATACTTGTAAGCACTCTATTTCTAAGCTATGCCCCAGTACTGACATTCGTTATTTATATTAATAAGCATAATAAGGACTGGGAGGATAGTTAGTAAAGCGCTTACTTTGCAAGCATAAGGACCTAAGGGTGATCCGCAGAATCCATGGTTTTGTTTTGTTTTTTTAAGTAAATGTCAAGTGTAGTAATGTGCCTGTAACTCCAATTCTGGGGAGGCAAACTAGAACTAGACACATTCTAGACCATTAGAGACTGTGTCTCAAGAAAAACATGGATGTTGCCTGAGGAGTGGCATCTGATGTTGCCCTCTGATCTACACACACACACACACACACACACACACACACACACACACACATATGTAAACATGCTCATACACAGAAAAACATAATGGTTCTGAACTTAAGTTCAGGAGCCCAGAATTCCTAACCCTCCTTTAGTTTTTATATTCTGTTAGTTTCAATTCAATTCAGCTGTATAGGACAGAAATCAGAAATAACAGCAACTGAAATACAGAAGCTCATTGTATGGAGTGGAGATGAATATTACAGAGCTGAGATAACAACTGTTTGTCCCCAGAGCTCTGGAATCCCATCTTGCTGCTCTCCTTCTTAATCCACAAACACACCTTCCACTTCATCATCCCGGCTGGCTACTTGAACTTGAGCTGTCAACCTGCAGCCCAGAAGAAAGAATACGGCCACCACAAACCCTGACCTACAAGCATACTTCCCAGGAGTTGCTCACACCACTTCCGTGTTCGTTCCTCAGCCCAGAACTTAGTCATGAAACCTCATCTTACTGGAAAAGATGGTCTTTATTCCAGACACTCATGTGCACAGCTGAAGGCAAGAGTAGCATTTCCAAGAAACAAGGGGAGGCATACATTGCAAGACAATGTTGGCCATGTTTGTTTTTGTGACCTTGGACAAGACACTGAATTTCTCCAGGTCTGTTCCCCACACTCAAAGCAAAAGAATCAGGTCAGGATCCCTTCCCAAAGTAATTTCCGTTTCTAAAATTATATAATTCGGTGTCTCATCATTTTATATAATACTTTTATCTGATGTCATTCAAATAAAAATGAGATCGCCCTGTCAAGCACGATCTTGGTATAATCAATTGTTAGAATTAAAATCTTCCAGTAAGGAGAGGATTGGAAACTTTGCCACCCAGACTGTTGTTAAAATAGGCTCACTAAGAGCCGGGCGGTGGTGGCGCACGCCTTTAATCCCAGCACTCGGGAGGCAGAGGCAGGCGGATCTCTGTGAGTTCGAGGCCGGGCTGGACCGATAGCCTCCAAACCAATACGGAGAAACCCTGTCTTGTAAAAACCAAAAAAAAAATAAAATAAAATAAAATAGGCTCACTAAGTGAATTGAAGAGATAAAAAGTCACAGCAGGGTGTGATCCCTCCTACACTGATGTTCTGATACACCATGGTTTCCACGCTTGCCTCAAAGCACCATTGCCCATTGGTTCTTCTGCTTAGGACTTGGGTAGCTGTGTCAGTAGAAGGCCTCCAAGCAGCTACCATGCACACTAATTATACAGTACTAAATGGCAGAATAAATGTTCTGTGAGTCAGGGCTCTGTGGTCTGTTGTTTCTGATACATTATTTTTCTTAAATCTGATGTAGTTTATGTAGTCATAAAATATATGACTCTAAGCTGGGCCTGATGG